AGTCTGAAATTCATAATGAATTAAGAATGAAAAGACAAAGACACAGTCTGGGAGATGAAGTATAAAAAGAGAAAGCCTGGGGAGTTCTGCACCTTCTAGGAGGTGACTTTAAATATTAACGCTGTACAGTAGTAAATAGTGAGGGACATCTAACACTATGCCATTTGTTTTAAATAAGTAAGACACTGGCATCCCTGCTGGACTAACTCCAATCAATACTAATTTAAAAGCATATGTCCCCAGAGTGTAGCCATTCTATAGGCTGTATGTCTACAAGCAATCTAAAAGGACTGAAAGCCAAGTGGGATTAGAGGAAATGAAACTCAAATCAATGCAACTGTCTAGTGATGAGATTACAGAGTTCATTATTCTCCCATAGCCTTTTAGTATTTTTTTTTTTTAAGCTAAACCATTCTGATCATTCTTAATAAGGTACTATTGCCAAATACTGTTACAAACAGACTGACCAATTTTTCCTGAGCCTTGACTGCCTCTGTAATATGGAACATGGCAGGTAGCATGGAAGTTATTACTTTTGTGGAGGGGCAAAAAGACTTGGGATCAAAAACTACCTAGCCATACATGTAAGTAAACAAGATATATTAATTCGACTAATTAGCCATTGAGAATCCCTTACAAAAAGTCATAACCCTCAGACTGATTAAGCAAAACAGAATTCTGTCACTCAGATGCTCTGAGTCTGGAAAGCGCTAGTCTTGATGATAATTCTAGTCAGTTTTTATTTTGCTCTTCTCAGGCAAACATCAAACTTTGCCTGCTCTGCTCAGCAGGGAAAAGCTTTGCATAAACATGTTCCACATTTCAGTGTGGTAGCTTCCACAGTGCCTTGGCCTACCCTCCCTATTCAATTGTCTACGTCCTCTTCTTCGTTCTGTTCTTCTTCTTCCAGTCTTTCCTCATCTTCTTCATTGTCCTCATCCCTGCTCCTGTCTTGCTCTTCTGAGTCTGTTTTTTTGTCTTTGTCCTTCTTCTTTTGCTCTGAAGCTTCCTTCTTACCTTTCTGTTCCCGCCTATAAGCTGTAAGGAAGTAGGAGGGGGATTAGGAGGAGGGTTGGAAGAGGTAGCAGCTAACCCCATGGTAATAATTGGAAAAGCTGCGGCTCAGGAGGAAAAATAGCCTGCCCAGCATCGCAAACAGATCTGAGGTGGTACAAACTGAACTGAGTCACATCCAGTATTGGTTTACTGGACTTGACAAGGACCCACGCTGAAAGCCTCAGGGCCAGGTGAACAGGTCATACAGGATGACCATCTTCTATGCTCTTTAGAAAATGGAAGGATCATTACCTTCCAGAGCTTCTTTTAAGGGGGTAATGAACCGCTGGAACTCCATCTCTTCCATGGCTGAGAGCACATCACTGGCATTGAGCGTCTTGCGTTTCCCTTTCATTGCAAAGTTGTTGGCACTGAAAGAAGAAAGGGCAAGCGCTGTCGGTGGCTGTGAGGCTCCGCTTGCTGTGTGCAGCGGAGGGGTGGGAGAGCTTACAGACGTCTGAGAGGCTTGTGTTGCTGTGTGACACGGGAAAGTCCTTTCCTTCTCTGAACTCAAGGGCTAAAGCAGCGTTGTTTCGTCGTTTAAATTGCCACACAATTAAGGAAGCTGTGAACCTCTCTGAACTGAGATGGGACTCAGTAGGGGTCTGTAGGTTCCAGACCCCAAACTCCGAGCCAGGTCTCCTGCGCCTCCCCAATCCCTAGCGGTGCCCGGCTCACCAGGATGTGGCGTACAGCACGAAGACACTGGCGGCGCGGGAGATGGCGCTCCGGGCCTCCTTGGAGATGTTGACACCGTCCGGGAGCTGTTGGGGGAGTCGGGGTGAGCAACACTGCCAGCCCGGGACCTGCTTCCCTCCTGCCCGCTCGTCCGCCCCCTGCCCAGCAGCTCACCGCCTCTTTAATGATCCTGGTGATGACAGCATTGGGCAGGTTTAAGTCCTCTGGCCTCTCCGCCATTGCCACGGCCGGGGCCGAAGCTGCTTCAGCCTCAGGCCTCTTCTTCAGGCAGCTGCCGCGTCCGGACTTCCCGCGTCGCTACGGTATGAGCCTTCCAGGCTTCCGTTCCATCCCACGTTGCCCACAGTACGTCCCACAGTGCCCCGCGCGTCAAAACCGCTCTCGGGCCCCAGCCCCGCCTCTATCTCAAATCGTTGGTGCTTCCGAAGTTTCCACACTA